ATGTCTGTTGCACCAAGGTGAGAAAGGAGTGCAGTCCAACACAGGCTGTGCTAGCCCAGACTGGCCCCAGCAAACCAAAAGCGGGCTTCAGGGTGAGTGAATCACCAGCTGCAGTGGCTGCTTCTGAAGATTTCAGCCCACAGATGGTAAAGGAATCAAACAACTGGTCAGAAGGAGATTACAGGGATCTCTTTGCTAGCACTGGTGGCAGGGCTCTATTGCTTTGCCCATACTCTGATCCAGGTTGCAGCGCTGGGTAGTAGTCCCAGGACAAGGAGGAGCACTAGCACATTACAGCTCGTGCCTACAGTGAAGCGAGGATACTCCTCACAATTCAAAGGGCAGAAAAGAGTGCTTGTGGCCACTCACAGACCAGAGCACGGGCCAGGAGAGTAATAAACACCTCATCTTAGATCATACACCACTTTGGAAGAACTAAAACTTACAGGTCCCTAGAAGTATCTCTGAGAACAGCTGGATAAAACCCTGAAGCTTGGAACTGCACACCTGCCACTGCGGAAGGAGAGCCCTCCTTTAAGAAACAGTTAAAAGTCAAGTAATAGGCTGGGAAAATGTGCAAACAGAAAAAAATTCTGACCATGCGAAGTTACTATGGTGACAAGAAAGATCAAAACACACACTCAGAAGAAGATAACAAAATCATAGCTTCTACATCCAAAGCCTCCAAGAAAAACATGAATTGGTCTCAGGCCATGGAAGAGCCCAAAAAATCAAATAAGGGAGGTAGAGGAAAAATTGGGAAGAGAAATGAGAGGCAAGAAAATCATGGAAAAAAAAAAGAGTCAACAGCTTGGCAAATGAGACACAAAAAAATACTGAAGAAAACACCACCTTAAAAAACAGAGTAGGCCAATGGTAAAAGAGGTACAAAAAGCTAATGAGGAGAAGAATGCCTTAACAAGCAGAACTGGACAAATGGAAAAAGAGGCACAACAATTCACTGAAGAAAAAAACTCCTGAAAAAGTAGAATTGGCCAAATGGAAAAGGAGGTACAAAAGCTCACTGAAGAAAATAATCCTTTAAAAATTAGAACTGAGCAAATGGAAGCTAATGACTTTATGAGAAATCAAGAAACAATAAAACAAAAACAAAAGAATGAAAAAATAGAAGACAATTGTGAAATATCTCATTGGAAAAACAGCTGACCTGGAAAATAGATTCAGGTGAGATAATTTAAAAATTATTGTACTACCTGAAAGCCATGACCAAAAAAAGAGCCTAGACATCATTTTTCAAGAAATTATTAAGGAAAACTGCCTGGACATTCTAGAACCAGAGAGTAAAACTGAAATGGAAAGAATCCACTGGTCACCTCTTGAAAGAGATCCCAAAATGAAAAGTCCCAGTAATATTATAGCCAAATACCAGAGCTCCCAGGTCAAGGAAAGAATATTGCAAGCCGCCAGAAAGAAACAATTCAAGTATGATGAAGCAATAGTAAGGATAACACAAGATTTAACAGCTTCTACATTAAAGGATCAGAGGGCTTGGAATATGATATTCCAGAGGGCAAAAGTGCTAGGATTACAACCAAGAATCACCTACCCAGCAAAACTGAGTATAATCCCTTAGAGGGAAAAATAGATATTCAATGAAATAGAACACTTTCAGGCATTTTTGATGAAAAGTCCAGAGCTGAATAGAAAATTTGACTTTCAAATACAAGACTCTGGAGAAGCATTAAAAAGGTAAACAGGAAAGGGAAATTATAAGTGAGTTCACAAGGTAAAACTGTTTACATTCCTACATGGCAAGATGATACTTGTAACTCATAAGAACTTTCTCATTAGGACAAATAGAAGGAGTATACATAGAGGGCACAGGTGTGAGTTGAATATGAAGGGATGGTATCTAAAAAAATAAAATTAAAGGGTAAGAGAGGAATGTACTGGGAGAAACGGAAAGGGAGAGATAGAATAGGGTAAATTATCTCACATAAAAGAAGCAAGAAAAAGCTTTTACGGTGTAGGGGAAGTATAGAGGTGACAGGGAGTGAGTGAACCTTATTCTTATCATAATTGGCTCAAAGAGGGAATAACATACACACTCAACTAAGGTATAGAAATCTATCTTACCCTACAGGAAAAAAGGAGGGGAAGGGGATGGGGGTGGTGGTGATTGAAGGAAGGGCAGTCTTGGGGAGAGGGTAGTCAGCAGCAAAACACTTTTGAGGATGTACAGGGTGAGAGAGAAAATAGAATAAATGGGGAGGGGACAGAAATAGGATGGAGGGAAATAGTTAGCAATAGAAACCATGAAAAAAATTTTGAAGCAAATTTCTCTGATAAAGGCCTCAATTCTCGAACATGTAGAGAACTGAGTCAAATTTATAAAAATAAGAGCCATTCCCTAATTGATAAATGATCAAAAGATACCAACAGTTTTCAGATGAAGTAATCAAAGTTATCTATACCCATGTAAATAAATGCTCTAATTTACTGTTGATTGGAGAAATGCAAATTAAAACAGTTCTGAGGCACTACCTCATATGTATTAGATTAGCTAATAGGACAGAAAAAGGAAAATGACAAATATTGGAGGGGATGTGGGAAAAATGAGACATTAATGCACTGTTGGTGTTGTGAACTGATACAACCCTTCTGTAGAGCAATTTGAAACTATGCCCAAAGGGCTATAAAACCATGCATACCCTTTGACTAAGCAATACCACTACTAGGTCTGTATCCCAAAAGAGATAAAAAACAAAAAGGGAAAGGACCTATATGTACAAAAATATTTACAGCAGCTCTTTTCTGTTGGCAAAGAATTGGAAATTGAGGGGATGCCTATCAATTGGGGAATGGCTGAAAAAATTGTATGTGATTGTGAAGTAATATTGATATGCTATAAGAATGATAAGCAGGGGGCAGCTAGGTGGAGCAGTGGATATAGCACCGGCCCTAGAGTCAGGAGGACCTGAGCTCAAATCTGGCCTCAGACACATAACGCTCACTAGCTGTGTGACTCTGGGCAAGTCACTTAACCCCAATTGCCCTCACCCCTCCCCAAAGGAAAAAAAAAAAAGAAATGATGAGCAGGATGTTCTCAGAAAAACTGGACTTATATGAGCTAATGAAAAGTCAAATGTACTGTGTACAAAGTAACAGCAATATTGTAAGATGATCAGCTGTGAAAGACTTAGCTATTTTTAGCAATACAATGATCCAAGACAACTCTGAAGGACTTACGATAAAAACTGTTATCCATCCCCACAGAACTGATGGTATCTGAATATAGATTGAAGCATACTTTTTTTTTTTACTTTCTTTTTCTTGAGGTCTTTTCTTTTGCCTGTTTTTTTCACATTACTATTATGGAAATGTTTTGCATGACTACACACGGATAATCTATACAAATTTGCTTGTCCTCTCAATGAGGTGGGGTGAGGAGGGAGGGAGGGATAGAATTTAGAACTCAAAGTTTTAAGAACAAATGTTAAAAACTGTTTTTGCATGTAACTGGGGAAAACTAACATACTAAATAAACTAAATAAATAAGCTTTCCATTTAGCTGCCAAAAAAAGAAAAAAAAAGGGTCTAATAATGTATTGTCCTGTGACTCTACTCAGAATCCTTGATTCTTTACAGGTTGCTTGGCCCAAAACTCTGCCTCCTGTTTCCTGTTCCCTTACATTTATCCATATGAGCTCCACACCTCAGGCTGCCCTCCCATTCCTCCCCATACTTCTATTGTGCCCTTTGTGACTCCTATTCTAATGTGTATTTAATTCTATGTATACATGTTGTTTTCCCCAACAGAACATAAGCTTCTGGAGCACAAGGGTGGTTTTACTTACCTTAGTACGCCCAGCACCTAGCATAGAATAGGTGCTTAACAAATAAATGACTGTTGAATTATATTGAACTATCCTAAAGACAAACTTTCAAGTGGCTTCCAATTGCAAATGTATTTTCACTTTCATAGGACCAGAGCTCTAGAGCTGGAAGAAACCTTAAAGGATATTTGGAGCAACTCCTTCATTTTACCAATAAGGAAAATGAGGCCCAGGGAAGTGAGTTGCCCAAGGTCACACAGGTAGTAAGTATCAGAACAGTATTTGAACCCAGGTCCTGACTCCATAGTCAGTATTGCATCTTTCCCCATGTTGTTTCCCTTGGGTTCTTCCTTGAAATTCGTCTCATTTTCCCACACAAGGACATTTCTAGTGTTTCCTGCTAGAGGAAGAATGAAAAGATCATTTCTCTTACTGTACTCTGGCAAGCCTACCTGTAGACTTTCCGACAGCAAATTAGGATGTCATCATTGGCCCAATTCAGGAGGTTCTGCCACAGTTGGTGAAGACAAATCAGAGACAAAATATTAGCATTGAAAGGGATCTTAGAGATAACCTAATTCAGCTTCTTCATTTCGAAGGCAAGAAAAATGAGCAAACTCTCAAAGAGGCCAGTCTGATAGAGGCATCACTAGGATTAAAACCTAGACCAGAAGACTACCTTTCAGTTGACTTCTCTGAAGTGCCTCAGTTTCCTTTCTAAAATGAGGACAATAGGGGCAGCTAGGTGGCACAGTGGGTAGAGCACCGGCCCTGGAGTCAGGAGGACCTGAGTTCAAATCCAGCCTCAGACACATGATACTTACTAGCTGTGTGACCCTGGGCAAGTCACTGAACCCCACTGCCTAGCCACAAAAAAAAAAAAAAAAAGTAAAATGAGGACAATACCTGAATTAGCAGCCCCATGATTTTGTTGTGAGGAGCTGACATGTGTTGAAGTATTCTGGAAAGAATACTAAACAAATGTAAGGAATCTGATATCCCCATAGACTTAGTATGGATGGGATTAGCATAGTTGTAAAAGGGCTGAATTCACAGTCAACAATGTGTTATGAGTTTGACCAAAAAAAGCAGTCAAGGGTCATTTTCTCATTTTGCCTAATGGTGTTTTTCTGACTGTCCCCAGTTCATACAGTCAATGCCTTTAAATACCCACTCTTCTACAGATGAGACTCACACACCTTCTTCTGTTCTCAGAGAAATTTATTCACAGTTGTGAAGGGAAGGGCAGGCTTGGTTAAAAAGAAATAGGAAACCATGCTTCATCCATTTCCCCTGCAGGCATCTACAGATCTGAGGCAGGAACACTCCATCCTGGAACCTGGAACATCTGTGATTCTCTTGCTTCTATCCTCCTGTTCTGTGTAGTCCATTGAAGTGGCTGGGTGGGGGGCTGGGTGGTAGAAGCTGCCCATTTCATCAACATCATCACCATCACTGCTTCTTTGATTCTATGGGATGGGCTTTTCCTACAGGGTCCACCAATATGACTACCCCCCAACACGCAATGCCTGAGGACAACAATAACAGTAATTCATATTTCTTTAGCACTTTGACAACAAATCTGTGAGAAAGGTAGGTAGGCAGGTAGGGTGAAGTCTTAAAATCCCCATTTAAGGATTAGACAACTGAGGCTAAGAAAGGGTGAAGTGATTTATCTAAGGTTAAAAAACCTAGTAAATGGCAGAGACCAGACACCAACAAAGGCCTTCTAAGACCAGCACCTTAACTACATCAAATTTCACATTCTGGGAGACTCTGAGTTAAGTTACTTTTACATTCAATCATTCAACAAAAAAATTATTAATTACCTGCTGTGTGTAGAGCTAATTAACCCTCTTCCCCTTCTCTGCTTAATTCTACCATGTTCCCCCTGTTGATTATTTCAAATTTTTCTGGTATTGCATATAGCTTATTTGTACATGGTTGTTGGGACTGTAAACTCCTTTACAGCAGGGACTATCTTTTGCTTTTTTTTTTTTTAAATCAGCATGTAGCGCAGTACCTGGCACATAGTAAGAGCTTAATAAATATTTACTGACTGATCGGCTGACTTTCCTTCTGCTTAGAGACTTGTTTTAAGGATCAAATAAGATGGTATCTGTAAAATACTTAGCACAATGCCTGGCACATAGTAGGTGCTTAATAAGTGCTAGTTCCCTTCTCTTCCCCCTTGGAGGTCCAAGAGGTTCACTGATTCACTTTTTGATTCTATAATCTGCAAGGTGTAGTAGAATAAACATGGTGAGAGGCCTGGATTTGGAGCCAGAAAATAATGGTTCAAATAAATCTTCCCTTGCTTACTCCCTATGTGACTTTGGACATGTTACTCCCTGGGTCTGCAGTCTCTTTCCTGGTGAACTCCTGGCCACAGGTGGCCTGCCAAACTGGCCAGAGCCAGATTAAAACGTAATTGGGAAATGTTTAACAAAATAAACAAAAATACAACACAGGTCATGTTAACTTGTGGTTTTGAACGTTTTAATTTGTGGTTTTCAAAGTCAACATGAAGCCAGTTTGACACCAATGGACTAAACGACCTTTACAATTCTAAATCTTGATCTATGACATGGAGCCTGGGAGATCCGGCTTTAACAAGCCTTCCCAGTTGGGTGACCTCGGACAAGTCACTTTTGCCTCAGTTTCTTCATTTGTAAAATGGGGCGGCAATTCTTGCCCCAGCTCCCTGACCTGGCTGCTGTGAGGCATGGCACTTTGTAAACCTTACCACATCACTGAAATAGGAGCTATTATTATTGTTGTTGTTATTGCGGTGTATGGGGGATCTTTTTACCCCCCTCCTCAGCCCCACCCCCACCCCTACCCTGGGGTGAGCTTTGACCACCTCCAGAAGCCAGCAAACCCCGCTCCCACCCTCCCGAGCACTGAGCACGTGACTCCTCTACCCAGCTCGTGCAGCGCACCCCCTCCCCCAACCGCCTGCCTCCTCCCGGCCACCGTCCCCGCCTCGCGCTCACTGATGCCAACGACCATCTGGAAGATGGTACCCGGGCTGGGGGCACAGCCAAGCTTCAGGGGCCGCCGCGCTGTCCAGTACACGTAGCCGCCCGCCCCCAGCAGCCCCACTCCCGATAAGAGCCGGCAGCTCAGGCAGCCCCCCATTAACGGGTTCTTGCCCGGAGCTGCGGCTGGGGCCGGGGCCCGGGCTGGGGCTAGCGATGCGGGGGGCGACGAAGACGTGCTGGCAGCCATTACTAGGCGGTAGGGGCAGAGACAACGACCCTAGAAGCGGCGGCTACCACGCGGAACACACGAGCGATGACTCCGGAAGCCGAGCCACGATGGGAGCTGCACAGGAAGTGGGCGCAGTGGCTCTATGGGAAATGTAGTTTTTCCTCCCTGCGCTGGCGCTCTGTTACAGGAGAACGGACAGGAAATGCTGCTGGAAGGGGCGGTACCTTCCCCTTGTGTTTAAAATTCATCTCCCGGTCCTATTTCGCCCTTTGTCCTATCTATCAAAGCTAGTATTCCTCACTCCACCTCTCACCACAGAAAAATGAAATCAAACCCTGTGTTTATGATTCCACAGAAAGGCAGATAGGGAAACCATTCCTTCCTTTTGTCAAAGAGTAAACTCTAAGAAAGAAGATGGCGTTTCCAAGGTCACATCTAAGAGGTGTCATTGTCCAGGATTCAAACCTCAAACCCTTAATTTCTTGCGCTTTGTATCTTGGCTCCACTGCCTTGTCTTTCCTTTCTCTTATCCATCTTTCTTATTATTATCCTTTCTCTGATCCTTATCTCTTATTCTTCCTGAAAAATGAAATGGGGCAGGGAACTGTTATTTAGATAATCCTCCCACCTTTGCTAAATATGGTGACCAAGTTTTTATATTTAAACTTTTAAAAATTTAGCACAAATTATCAAGATAAGTGTCTCTATTTTCAATTTAGCTTCTTTGCTATTGAAAGCTAGCCTATAGGCTGTTCATCATGTCTGTGATAAGAGCCAGTGTCGTAAATTGCAAAGAACGCTGGATTCACTCAACTCTGCATCCTGCCTGGTTTCAGCTCCAAGGAACAAGGTGCCCTTCTCAGCTTAAGTTCATCACTTCTAATCTCATCACCAGCCAGCTAACTCAACCCTTGACTGATGCCATTCCCCTCAGCCTCCTCTTCCCTCTGATTGGAAGGCTGGAGGGCAGGGTACCAAATTCCTCCCAATGCTTTCCTTTATAGAGGGCAGAAACCGAACTTTGGCCAACTCCACTCAATGTCTGCTGCACTTCCTGGTTTCAGTTCCACAGATCAAGGTGCACTAGGCTAGGTACCCACTGGTCTCCCTCCTACCCACCATTCCTGCTTCCTTTTGTGTATTGTCTCTCCCATTATATTGTAAGTTCCTTTGGGGCAGAGATTGGCATTCTTTTTATTAACTGTATCCCCAGCTCTTAACACAGTGGCAGGCACATAGTAGGCACTTAATAAATGTTCAGTGGTACAGTAAGAGAATTAGATTTCAAGTCAGAAGACATCTGGTTGGAATCAAAGCTCTCCCAGTTACTACTCATCTGGCCTTGGGCAAATCATTTCTCCTTCCTGGGCTTTGGTTTCCTCATCTGTAAAAGGAGATTGGAGTAGATGATCTCCAGGGTTCTAGTTTTAAGTCTGTGATCCTATGACCCAGCTTCTAGTTCTGTGTTGGATGATGGAGATATAAAATGGAATTAAAAGCAAGATTCCTCCCCTCTATTCAAGTTTACAGATTAGTGTGAGTATTGGATATAACCATACCATATATTACATATATTTTGTATGTATATAGTTGTTTGCATGTTGTCCACTCTATTGGAATATAAGCACCTAGAATGCAGGGACCAAGTTTTTTGCTTTTCTGTCTATTTTGCCTTTCTTTATATAGCCAGTGCTTAGCTCAGTGACTCATATAGTGAATGCTAAATAAATGCTGTCCTTAAATTTGTTTATTTCTCATACTAACTCTGTCTCTGATTCTATATCTAACCCTAATAAGCACAGCCATTTTTGTTTAATATTTTGTGAATTTAAGGTCCAACATGTTTTGAGATCAGTGTGTATGTGTGTAATAGGCAAGTTCTATTATGTGAATATTACACTTATCATGTTATAGATGCTGGGACAATAAAATTAATAGTAAACAAAATTATTTAGGAAATTTAACTAAATAACATACCATCCAAAATTTCACAGCACATCTGATAAAAACTCAGCATATTAGTGAGGTACACCCTTTGAGAACCACTGTTCATTGGAAAAATGTTTATGAAAAATAATGATCAGTTTTTAAAGGTTCATTTTGTTCTACCAAATCAAATGCTTTAAAAAAAAAAAAACCAACCCAAAAAACACCATGGGATTTTATTTTCTCTGAACCTTTCATTCAGTTCCGTGAGTTAAAAGACAGTCTGCTATAAAATATTGTTTGTGAAATCCTGCCTCTTTCTTGTACCTTCATCAAGGAGACTATCAATAGGACTGTGTATCTTGCTCACTAAGATTATAAGGAGATAAGAATGTTGATATGTGGATTGGTATTTATTTTTATTATAATTTTTAGGAAAAGGGTGAGGGGAAAGGTTATGTGTATATGGGGGAGTGAGGAATGTCCAACGTGAAGATGAAGATGCATGGTTCCAGGAAATACAGAGCCAAATGACTTAGCTCCTCCAATGCACCGTCTCTTCAGGAAATGGTGATGGTCTTTCCCAATGTTAATTCTACTTCTCATCTTTCACTGTCGTTAGTTCAGTTGATTAGGTCATATTGGAATTATTGTGATTGCTTATTGTGTCTTCTATATTCTATAACATCATATATTTTTAATATTGCTGTATAGCTTAACTTTTCATGTGTTTATGTCTTATCTGCCTAACTAGATTGTAAGCTTATTCCTTCAGCAGCACTTAGAACTGTGAAAATACATTTATTCTGAATATCTGCTCAGTTGCCTGTTGGTATCCAGAACGTACGTATCTAAAACTGAATGCATCAGCTTCTACCCAAAGCTTGGCCTTCTCACTTCACTCTTTCTTTTGAAGACCTCATCTGCCTAGTCACCGAGGCTTATCATTTTAGAGTCATCTTTGACCTCTCTCTCTTCCTCATTTCACAGTCCAATTCGTTGTGTCATCCTGTCTCTTCTTCATTTGTAGTCTTTCACATTCATTTCTCCCCCCTCTCTTTACCTCCTCTCAACCTCCACTTGAGTTACCTTGTTCAGATTCTCATCTCCTCTTGTCTAGACTATTGTAATAGCTTCCTAACTTGTGTTCTTTGCCTCTAATCTATCTTTCTTCACATCATTTCTTTCACATAACTGCCAAAGTCATCTCAGTTATACTACTCTGATTATATCATTCTTCCACTTAAAAACCTTAAGTCATTCCCATTGTGTATGAAAGTGTAAAGTATGAAAGTATAAATTCATGATGGTAGCATTCAAGGCCCCCATGTTTTCCCAGACTTCTTTCCTATTATTTCCCTTTACATTCCATCCAAGTTGGACTATTTCCCCCATTCTTTTCCTTTCCTCTCCTATAAATCAATCCACAAGCATTAAGTGACATCTGCCAGGTACTATACAAATGCTGGGAATACAAAAACAAAAATGCAATTCTGCTTTCCAGGAGCTCTCATCGACATCTTCCTCTCACCAAGAATGGATTCTCTTTCCCTCTCTATCCAATCTTTGTCTATTCAAATCTCCCTTCTTTCAAAGCCCAGCTCAGAGAGCTCCTTCATGAAACTATAATAATCTTTCCCAGTTAAAGGGATCTTTTCTGTCTCAAATATCTCATATCATTTGCAATACCCTTTCTTTGAACTTACCACATTCTACCTCGTGTCATTTTTATTTCTATACGTGTATTTCCCCCAACTAGATTATAAGCACCTTGAGAACAAGGTCTATATTTTATGTGCGTGTATGTGTGTGTATATATATATATATATATATTTTTTTTTTTTTTCCTTCTGTATTCCTAGCACCAGCACAGTGCCTTGCACACAATATGGGCTTAATAAATGTTTGCTGAATGAATAAATGTGTTATTAATTGAATGCCTTACATTCCAGTTGTCCCCAAAGTCTTAGTGCAGACCTTGAAGTTGCTTGTATTTTAGACATTCAATAAATATTTGTAAAATTGAGTTTATTGGACCAGCTTTTCATATAAATCTTTAAATATCCTACATACTTAAAAAACACCAACTCAGTACCGACACAGTCTGGCACCTATCTTAGTCCATGAGCAATTAGTAACATGAGGAATTTGAGGGTTCCCTCTTTGCCTTTTACATTGTGGACTGATAAATGTTTCAAGAAATATACAATTGAAAAAGATATTTACTAAAGGTGTCTATCAACAGAAATAAAGCTCAAGTAAAACGACATTGCTTTCATAGCAAAATATATCCTGTCGACTCTTACAAAGAGAAGACCCTACTTAGCAATTGACTACAGACATCATGGAAGGAAAGTTTCACCCTAAGAATGTAGGAGGGCATGTCACAGGGAGCAGAGAGGATGAATATAGTAATGCTAAAGATGAATATGCTAAAGAATTTCATGGCTGTGTGAAAAAGGACGCTCAGATGGAAATACATAGACCTGGTTTACTGGGTTCAGTAGGAGGAGTTAACCACATATAAAGGAAACGCACACGAGTATTTTGTTTAAAAGGACAGGAGAAAAGTAGTACCATATATAAAATTTAATTTAAGATTTGTTCATAATCAGTGAAAGTGTAAATACCAGTGACTTCCTGGTCCTTGTGCAGTTTAAGAAGATGTTCATATCATACTCCTGGAGTATTTGTATTACTAGACAGGCCCTTAACTTGAAGGCTAGAGTTAAAGGATTCTGTTAAATAAAAATAAAATGTTCTAAAACAGTTATTACTGAGAGTTCCTCCTTTGATCCTTAGGTTTTAAAATGGTTATTCAAATAGAAATTTTTAGAATGGTCCTGTGTAACACTGGGCCTTTGAAATCCCCCTGAACACTCAGTCTCTGGAGCTTCTTGCTGCTTTTTTCGGGGTTCACTTAGTAGGTTATTTGGGGGAAATCAATTTTACAAAGACCACATTAGTATAACTCTCTCCAGATCACACAAGCCTAAATCCAATAGCAAAAGCATATAAGACAAACACAGTATAGATAACAAAGAGAAATGAGTAGGAGATGCTTTTTCTGCTCCCATAAGCAAATAGGTAGTGCCTATTTAAAGGCTCCAGTGCATTTATAACTTCATCCTTACGATTCCCCATAACACAACATTTTTCCTTGTGCCTTTCAGCAGAAGGCA